AGGTCCGTTGGGTCTGAATGGGGGGGGGGAAGAAGGAATTGACTTGAGGGGTGGGGGTGGTAAGTAGGCCGGGGAGGTGGTGGGAGGTTAGTGGGTTGTCGTCGTATTCGGAGGTCTCTATTGTGATAGTGGACTGACTGTCGGTAATCCCTCACAAGTTACACAACACTCGGTACAGCCGTCAATAGAGTTGAAAAAATTAGGTTTTGGTCGCAACAAGTTAAATGATAACTACACAGTACTCGGAATAGTTCAATATAGGATTCCTTTTGCCGACCGAGGCCTGTTTTCATCTGGAAAAAAATTTCTATCGACGGTCTAACATAACGAGGTGGAGAGTATTGAAGAAAAATTGGAAGAGGGAGTCGTGTTGTGGTAAGGTTTTTATACCTTGAGTGAATACAGGAAGGAATGATTTTTCCTCCCTCCTAGATAAAAATTTATTGATATCCCGGTTAGAGATTTACAGGAAAGACCGAATTCCAAGAACTTTGCGGATCACTCCACTCGTCCATTTCTCAAAATACATTGTTCTGTGGACAGATTTGTAGTCAGTCCAAAGCTTTCTTTTATCGTGGTAGCTGCGCTGTTATTTTACCTCCTTACTGTAATGCTCATAAAATCTATATTCGTCTCAACAACGTCGAATAAATAACTGGAAAGGTTTCGCAAACTAAGGCAGCTGTTAGCGTAGAACTTCGTCCCCCGATCAGTTCATCCGTATAGTCGGATAACGGTCACCACCCACCAAAATTTGAGGAGAGGACTTTCCAGGTCACAAGGAACTACCCGAGTGAGACTTCCCAATTTGTAATGTTTAACCACCAAGGCGTTCAAGACAAAATTCAGTGAAAAATAAGAGAAAGATATGTTCCAAATCCACCTTTTACAGCTACCTCTTTGGAATGTAAAAAACGCCGCTCAATGGCATTACATAACACACCAGGGGTAATTCCTTCCACAACAATTACGTCCGGACAAAAGAATTGTAATAAGTTCTGAGTCGAGAGCTTTGACATTCCCGAAGAAAATTTACACCTATTTGGTCCATTACGAGAAAGTTTCGAATTTTCCGTGGTCTCTTTACGGAAAGCACAACGATTACGCGTTCCTTATTATGAACCATTCACAAAAAATTCACCAACCGCAATGTTTAACCATAGACCCGGAACTACTACAAGAGTGAAAAATTTGAAGTCCATTTAAATTGGACGAATGTTTCGACATCCGCAATCTGATCCCAAAGAAAAAAGCTTGTTCAGGACAAAAAGAGAAAACTTTCGTCCTTTTCTGACAGTGCCTGGAAAAATGGACAACGACGTGAATACCACGTAAAACTATATACCTTACGTGACGGTAACGGACTTGTTCAATCTACGGCCGGATAGTGCGCGGTGACTTAAACAGTGATTAAACACTTCGTGAATGAAGTAGTGACATATGGGTTCTCGTCCAAACGGTAGTGAATGACAAGAATGCCTCCAGCAGTAACCATTCAAATAAATATCAAACAAAATTTGAGGCATAATTAGACGGAGAGACTATTGTGTCTCTCAACCGTTCCGTCGATATACAGACTCTAGCGACTGACATCATAACAACAAAACGGTTCTCGTTCCTGACAAATCATTCTGTCGAAAATACACGCGTTCGAGGTGAACGAACTTTGTTAGAAGTCGTTCTTAACTTGACTCGAGTTAGTTCCCTCCCTGTGATTGGAGCTGCTGGCATGAGCAAGTATCTGCTATTTTTATCATTATTCAACACCTCAGACACGAGCGCAGTCACAGGACAAACACACACACACACACACACACACACACACACACACACACACACACACACACACACACACACACACACCCATACATACACAGAACCAGAAGAGTGGAGCATTTGCAAACAAAGACTCTATATTGCATTTCCTTATTTAAATCCCCTCACTAGTATTTTATATCATCACATCTTGTACTCTCAGCGCATTTGGTTGATAATCATTCGCCTAATAAAACACATTTCAGGTGGAAATGCATATATCATAAGGCCTTCTTCCTACAGATCATATGGGTGACTGCAGCCTCACAGCAGCAGCACAGACTGATCATCACACTGTGGCCTGCTGCACAACCCACCCGAAAGACAACAACAGCAGGTTCATTTCGGGTAACCTTTGTTGAACAGCACTCTGATCAATAACAGAAAATGTGTCCAAATGAGCAATTGATTTATCAGAAACAACAAGCGATGACTCGTAAACTAATCAGTGTTTTTATGGAGCTGCACTTCCACTGATGCATGAATCCCTGAGGAAATACACTTTATGAAAGAGAGATGTCACATACTGATGTGTAGGACAGTTCCTTCATGCAAATCCTGAGGGAGGATAGGCAATCTTCAGAGTATCCATCGAGACTAGGAAACCTAAAAATAAAGCCCATGCACTGTAGGCTTGATAACAGGGGATATACACAGAGCGTAAAATACAGTAACATGAAACAATGATTAGAGTTGACAGATACAACAGCCACCTCCATACATCAAAAGGTTACTTCTTGTGTCCAAAGCACATTGTCATTAAATCATCTTATTTGGCACCATTACTAAAAAGTAGGATCCTCAGAGAAAACAACAGAGGACATGAGCCAGAGGCAGCAACAGTCAGCCAGACTGCTTACAACAGTTTAATCCCAAAATAAGATAATCAATCTAACAAGATCACCATAAACATGAAAACATTTAAATGTAAAACATAGATCTACTGTCAAAGCTGTTACCCTAAATCCCTTATTTTTTTCTAACAGTGGGGCTAGTACCAACCTAAACATGATTAAAAAGTTGATATTTTTTGTCTGATATTATTGTTGTTGCCAAACAACAGGTTTCGCACTGTAAGTAGTTGTAATTAGCTCTGCAGCTTAGGCATACTCATTTTAATTTTGCAGGAATTCTTGTTCAATTGGGTTGTTGTGATACTAGTGTATTTATTTACTTCGCACCATATGTGAATGTATTGACGTATGATTCACTTTTTGATTGAAATTAATCATATTTTCCATTGAATATCTAAAATGTAAAGAGCTGCAACTTGTATTTCTGTAAAGGGTTATTTATTTTTTTGTATTGATCTTTGAGTCTAAAAAATATTCCAAGAACATGGCGACATTCAATCTTGTTTTGTCTGACTAACAGTCCACAACTCAATGTTTTCTGTCATTCAAAAAATCAGTTAATCAACTGAATGCTTCAGCTGTCTTTAGGCATTTAAAAAAATGTTTTTCTGTTGGTTGTCTGACCTTACATTTGTTATTTCTCATTTGCCTGTAGTTTTATCTGAAGTCATAATAACAAACTGAATACACACATGTGAATATTTCTTTCCTTTTTTTTAAAAATCCCCTAAGGGAGTTAGGATATTGTTGAGATTAACATGTGAATTGCACAATCCGTTGAATCCCACTCACACTGGTAAACAGAGTCATTCCCTCAGGGCAGAAAATAGTTCACTGTGTGTAATATGTATGTTTAGTGGGCCGGGCTTTTGTAAATGTTAATCTCAGCTCATTAACATTAACAACTGGGATTCTTTTCCTCTCTGCTAATCAATAATCCAGCCTCGTGAGAGAGCTTTTGCCGGATTGTGCTTGTAGGGAGATCTTGGTGGGCTGTGCGTAAGGAGACACAGAATCAGAGAAATGCTGGGAAAGGTGATTTTCTCCCCTTATTGTTGGCAACATCTGCGCCTGTTGGTGGAACCTGATGTGACCTGTGGGGAGATTAGCTGAAGGAAGCCCAGACTCAGTGAGGCACTAAGACCCAGTGGAGAGCAGGGAGGCTGGGTGCTGCCTGCCCACCCGCCGCCTGCCTGTCTTCTCCGCACGGCTCTGCAGTTGCCCTGGGCGCGTGCCGGAGACAGTATAAGTGTGTGTGTGAAAGTGTGTGTGTTTGTGTCCACACTTTGTGCATCACGGGCTGGAAGACAGGAGCCTTCTCTTCATTGTTTTAGTACCATCTGTCCCTCTAACCTGAAACGCAGGCCTGGCTAGAGGAAAGCAGTGGGAGGTGTGTGTGTGTGTGCGTGTCTGTGCGTGTGTGTGTGTGTGAAGGGATGGGGAGGGGGCGGTCAGCTGGGTTGGGTGGGAGGTGATGACGAGATGAAAGGGGCCAGGTGAGGAGGAGACACAGGAGCGTCTCTCTCTCTCTCTCTCTCTCTATCTCAGTCTCTCTCTCTGTGTCTGTGACGTGGTGTGTGTGATGGAGAGAAAGCGAAACAGGTCGGCTCTCCTTCAGTAGACTGTTAACCTGCACAGGAGGAAGCAGCCCTCTTCAGACTGAGGTATGTCACCTACCCTGTTAGCAGAGTGTGTGTGTGTTTAATGTATTGAAGTTAGGATGTTGGAAAGGTGGGTCTAGAGTAAAATCTGACTCAAGAGCATACTAGAGGTATTGTTTTATTTCATCACACAATCCAATATATTTGTGTATCCATGTAAAAGGATTTAGGATTTATGGCAATGATAAATTTTTATTTAAACTCCACTGGCAACATTCTGCCAAGGACTGAAAGGGACACTAAAACAACAGGCTAGTTAACTGCTCGCAGACATACTGTGTCATGTGCACATTATTGGGTCATATGGTTTACAGTGAGCCGCCTGATAGATTCTGCGGAAACCTTGAATTCTAGCTTTGTGTGAGTTTGTTTGGAGGCAGAGTTTGACTCTTAATTGTACTTCCTTCATTGATTCGATTACATTAAATAGGAGGATGTGCTGCATGTGAGGCATCAAGTAATTCCTCATATTTTTTAAATAGCGGTGTTTGTGTGGTTTGGACTTCTTAAAATGATCTCTAAACAGGTTGTCTATGCAATTTAAGGGATTTTGAATTGAATTTGGTTTCATGTGATAAAAGAACCTTTGATGGACAAAAACATTTCACGTCCCAGAGTTGTTGTGATAATTTTCCATCAAGAATTTCAATGTTGGTGCTCCTCAGGGCACCAAAGTGACCCCGGACACCAGAGAGCAATAAAACAATCGATGCTGATTAGACTTGAGGGCTGCTTCAAAGTTGTTGCTAGATCATAGCTGAGTGGTTGTTTATTGGTTATTTTAATGGGCTGAAGGTGACTCTGACCCTTTGACCTATTCAGCAAAGGCCACCTACGTACGCCTACGTCTGCCAGCTGATTGTTGTGTTCGATCTGCGTACGCGGGCAGGAAAACAACAAGCGCCTTGCAGGGATGAATCCTGTCACACTTATGAAATGGAAAACTTGCACATGCAGGTGTGCAGCACATGGAAATGTACCAAAGCCCTAGTGCCCGTTCCACTGCTTTTACAGTGTGTGGGGTTGTGTCCAGGTGAGGTTATGACAGTAAACACAGCACAGAGCCTCTACATGACTACTACACGGGCCACAAAAAGAATTCACTGCTGAGGCTGCTCTGCCACCATTTACATGGATTTTACTTCACAATTAAATGTAGCTACTAGCGTTTTAATCAGAAGTGTATTCAGTCTTTCAAACTCTATATGGCATAAGAAATTTAGAAGAAGCTTAACATTTTATATTTCTCATGTCATGATTGTAGTTATAAAAAAAGTATTTATCGAGGTCTCCCATCACTTCAGACAGCAGGCAGCTCTGTAATGCTGAGTTTCACAGTGTATTCACTCATCCAGTTTGCTCTAGACTCCGTTAAGGTCGGACATATGGTCCACTCGGCGCTTTTAACTTCCCCCTGAGGCACCGGTTGCTCTGAAAACACACATCTGAGGATGCAGATGTCAAATATGTAGTAAATTATGACGTGCAGACTGCATCTGTGTCTTGTGGCTTCACAGCAATATAGCAACATCAATACCAGGATCACAGTAAAATAAAATAAATTATAGCATTTAAATTACATTTTATAGAAGTGAGACATTCTTAGATTGCTTTAGGATTCATCCAAGCCTCCTTTGATTTGTCATTTAATCGGTGGCTCAACTAAAGTCATGTAAGTATTTGCATTAACAGATTAGTTTGATGCATTATAGAGATTTTCTCCCCTCAATTTCATTATGTATTTGTAGTCTGGGTAAAGAGTTATTTAGGTTTTCCAATTCTATGAAGTTGTCATATTTTGTGAGTATCAGCTCCATATTTATGCTCCCAATGCTTTGGGGAAATCAGTGACTCAGTTTTCAAACTAGTATATCTTTAGTAATGGGTTTTTTTCATGGACCCACCATGAGCATGTTGTGAAAACCATCACAGGCTCTTCCCTTACACTTCTTCTAAAAATAACTTTCTCTTTTGTTTCAGATCTCTCCGTGTGAATGTCAAGTTGGAGAAAGAAGGACAACTTCACTAAGAGTAATCAGGAAATAAGTGAAAACTGAGAGCTGCTGCAAAGCTCCAGGCTGAAGTCTCCGGCGCTCAGGTCTCCAGCTCCAGCTGCCATGACAGACACCCCCGCTTGAGCTTCTCAGTGACACCCTGTGACGGGGGAGGATGGGTGATGGGCCCGTGAAATTCACCGGACTCTTTCCTCCTTATCCCATCCTCTCATGGAGCACCCTGTCACACCGAGCCCCTCCTGGAACCATTCTCTCTCGGGCCTCCCCATACTTCCAGCCTCTCTGCACCCAAATATCTCTAACGTGACCTCGCCGGCCACAAGCCTCCCAGGGGGGCTCGATCTGAACCGGTCCTTGGCGCTGTGTGCCATGCTCATCATCGATGTGCTGGCAGTGGTGGGGAACTTGGCTGTGATGATTGTGATCACTAAAACGCCGCAGCTACGCAAGTTTTCCTTTGTGTTCCACCTGTGTCTGGTGGACCTGCTGGCAGCGCTGGTGTTGATGCCTCTGGGGATGCTGTCAGACCGAATCCTTGCAGACGAGGCGCTGTGTCGGAGCTACCTCTGCCTTAGTGTGTGTCTAGTGAGTGCTGCCATCCTCACCATCTGTGCCATCAACGTGGAGCGCTACTACTACATCGTCCACCCCATGCGTCATGAGGTGAAGATGACACTGGGGCTGGTGGTGACAGTGTTAGTGCTAATCTGGATTAAAGCCATTGTTATGTCGGTGCTGCCTCTCGTTGGATGGCTGCTTCAGGGGAACCAGGGTGTGGGGACTCCTTCGACCCTTATTCAGGGTCAGAGACACTGCTCACTTCACTGGACGGGAGTCAGACACACACGGCTACTTTTCATGGTCTTCTTTACGTTCATCTATTTTCTTTGCCCTATGCTGATCATCCTGGTGGTCTACTGCAACATGTTCAAGGTGGCGAGGGTAGCAGCCATGCAGCACGGCCCCCTGCCAACTTGGATGGACACACCCCGACAACGCTCCGAGTCAATCAGCAGCCACTCCACCATGGCAGCCAGCCTCGGTGGAACTGGCGCCCGCACCACCCCACAGAGGACCTTCAGCGGCGGGAAGGCTGCGGTGGTTTTGGTGGCAGTGGGTGGCCAGTTCCTCTGCTGCTGGCTGCCATATTTCTACTTCCATCTCTACACGGCGGTGGTCTCTACCTCTCCCTCCTCACTGTCCCAGCTGGAGGATGTTGTCACATGGATAGGCTATTTTTCCTTCACCTCCAACCCCTTCTTCTACGGCTTCCTGAACCGTCAAATTCGCGAGGAGCTGGGCCGCCACCTGGCCTGCCTCTTCAAGCGGGCCGGGCCAAGCGAAGGGGAGCAGCTGCCCAGCCGCGAGGCCTCCATCGAGGAGAACTTTTTGCAGTTCCTTCAGGGCACTGGATGCAATCTGGAGCACTGCAACTCACACAGCAGAGGCAGCCAAGAGGATCCAGAGAATGAGGGCCTTCAGGAATCAGCTGTTCTGCAGAACACGCCAGCTGACTTCCACATCCCAGGTCAGATCCTTGAGGAAACCTCAGAGTTCATACAGCGGCAACAGCTGAACAATGAGCTACATGTATCAGAGAACTGCTACAAAACTGTGCCCGAGCTGTAGCTGCCTCTCATGTACCGTCTCTTTTGCCATCTATAATCCAATAAATATATTTAGTTTTATTCTTATTTTCTAAAATGTGTTAAGTTAATATATCTTTTGTTCATGCTACAGCAGTGCTTTTAAGCTAACAACCAAGTGAACTGCAAAACACGTCTTTTTCAAAATAATTTAAGTTGTGTCGAGATTTCGGAGAAAGACGAAGACGAATATGTTCCATCTTGCTCGTATCATGGAGCATTACATGTTTTCAGAGCCATACAGTGTCAGACTGTTTTAAAGTGATGTTAGCTGATGGACACTAAAGTCTTGTGATAATCACGGGTCAGTGGTGTGACAAACATCACGTAAGAAAAAGAATTGCTGAAACTCTGTGAGTGCAAAACGTCAGGGGAAACACCAATTTTCACACTTGGGAAACTCTTAGAGCCATTTAATTACATTTTAAGTGAAAAAGTGAAATGTGACTTTTAATATGCATTCCTTAATTTATTCCTCATTTAAGTGAGGTTAAAAAATGTTAAGTGTGAAATAAGTCATAAAACATTACTGCGATTACATCAAAAATGCTCTACTTCCACGTTCATGTTCTTCTTGTTTTACTTACTTACCAAGACTTGAAAAAGCCCCTTGACAATCCGTTCATATACGCTCAGCGAGACAGCAGTTCCCTATGAACAAACAGATGTTTTATTATTCATATAAGTAATTATCTAACAATAAAACCCACTTTGCTTCACCTATATATAGAAACTAGTTAATCTCAAACATATTTTTGAGTCTGTTGAAAGAAAAAACGTGAGAAAAGAGGAGGAGGGAAAAGTACATATTGTGAGTTATTGTAGCTGTCATGCCTGGTTTGTTGAGGATATGTTTATAAGTGTTTTTATTTCACTTGCTCATCATAACACCAAGGACTTCATGTAAAAATGTAGTTGTTTTCCCAGTTGAAATGCATGAGTATTCAGAACCATTTTAAAAATGGTCTATTCCTTTGAAATATTCATTGTGTTAAACAGGATCATTTCACAGCTGGTGCTGCTCGTGTTATTTATAATAAACAGGCTGACACGATAGCTTATTATTAAGCATTTTCCAGGAACATCATTATCATGTTTATCTGTTTGCAGTCTTGTGATTATCACCTCCTCACCAAAAATCTCACATTGGTACACTCGTGATTTCACCCTCCTCAACTCAAAGAAAAACATTGTGGCTGCTTTAATTTGTGTGACACTAATGGTGTTAGGATTTAAGCTTTGCAAAAACATTGTCAAACCACAGTTGAACTGTAAGAAAAAAAAAAAGAAAGAAGCCCGATGTCTGTGCTGTTTACAGGTAAACAAGGGAGCAGTGTGAGTGCGCCTGTGTTTGTGCTCTAAACAACCATGCTTGTTGTGGCTACACAGCACACAGGTGAGACGGTGCTTACACATGGCAAGCTTTGCCTTTGGCCTCATTCAGCAACAAATGGAAGACTGTGGTGATACTTTCTCTGATCTCAGGTGGAATACAAACTGTTTGCACAAGTCACACGAGCAGTGACAAATCTTCCAAAGAAATTACACGGCACACATCTTTCACTAAACACTTTCTTGTCTCTTTTTATACTTGCTCTTTTTTGCTGCCTTTATCTATTTTGGGCTGCCTCATACCGGACTGTTGGCATGATCATAAGACATACAGGAGGTTCATATTTTGCTGGGAGTCAGAACAAAAAAAGGCCCCTTTGTCAGGAGGAGACATAATGTTCTTAATATTCCTGCAATATGACGCTGTTGCACACTGTTTTTCAGATAGGGTCATCATGTCATCTTGTTTCAAAATGTTTCCTTTGTGTGCAGTAATGTGAGGCCCTAGAAAATAGTGAGCTCAAGACGCAATCACTGCCATAATTCTAAATGTTCAAAAGTGTGTATGTAAATAAATAAACATACCATTTTATGCAACAAAATTACATAGAATTACCTTGATTGATTCCACGAGGGTACAGGAACAAGAGTCTTATCTCTTCAGATTATCTTACTCATTGAACATTATTAATCATCTCCTCTTTATCGTACAATGTTGTAATAAATTGGGTGATATTTCTCATAGTCTGGGGTCATTACAAAGCCCTTTATGTTGATTGAATCCCCCATTCAATCAGCTGGATTTCCGTTACCGTAGCAGCAAAATTGCCCCGACCAATCTGATTAAATGCTTTAAGCTCTATTTCTGCTACCATCTGTTGATTATGAGGACATGGAAATAAGCTGCTCTGAAGGTGAATGTCAGATAATATTCCCAGCTTCAGGAATATTCACTGACATTAGTCAGAAACTGTTTTGTTCATGGTAAATAATGAATGTGTCTTTTGTACCCGAGCTGAAAAGACTGTTTGGATTCATTATCATTACAGTCTGTTTCCCTGTGTTTTGGTTACCTATCAGTTGATATGATACAAGAAAACAGCACAAGTTTAAGTTGCTGTGGTAGTTACAAGAAATGTTTTGACGAATAATAACATCTCTGTCACACGATCAATCCTGTCAATCATCTTTTTCTGTTCCACGCTCTAGCTGCGTGCATCTGTGGTTGTGTGTGTGTGTGTGTGTGTGTGTGTGTGTGTGTGTGTGTGTGTGTGTGTGTGTGTGTGTGTGTGTGTTTGTGTGTGTGTGTGTGTGTGTGTGTGTG